CCCCAAAACCCCAAAACCCCAAAACCCCAAAACCCCAATTTTTACGAAGAATTTAATTAAATTGTATTAGAATCACCATATGAAAGGTGAAAGAATTGATACTTGTAAGTATCTCTAACAGGATTGTGAAGCCTAACTTTAAGCGAATTTAGATTACGTTTAGATAACTTCTATTTCAGAATATTGCATACTCTTAAAATTCATCACTTTAGGGTCTTCAGTAGAAGAAAATCAAAATAAAAGTGATAAAATTAGTCAAGAATCCGCCTCACCTCATGTTGTAATCACTAAAAAGACTCGGAGAATTAAAGAAAAATGTTTGGCTCGTGCTTCAAAAGGGACAGAGAAAGATCTCTCGATTTCTATATCTCCTCCAAACCTCAAGTAACTTCTATTTTCTATAATACAGCGAGGATATAAAAATTCTGGAGTCAATGAAATTACAAAATAAAGATATTATAAATACTAGTACTCAAGAGAACCCTTTTTCTAAAAATGTAAGAATTTAATAATCCCCACAGAGACCTCCATCATGCAGATTTCCTTTCAGAAACATGATGTTAAGGTAAGCTCAATCTTTAAAAAATAGTAAGGAAAACTTACAGATCAGGAAAAACTGAGACATTCAGATCCACCACAAATAAGCAGAGACCAAAAACAGCTAGATTTAGAAGAAAAGTACCTAATTCCAAATAAATATTGCTCTCTTCGACCACGAGTTAAGAAAATGACTGGAGAATTTGAAAAGTATTTCAAATATTAACAAATAGATATTTAATGAAAATAAAGAAGAGAAAATAAGAGTAAAGAAAATAAGATTCAGCCTATCAAAGACACAACTCAGACTAACGGTCTTAACAAAGAACTAACTTGGGTCAACATTTCTTCTAAAGGGAGGAACACCATTCTTCCTTTTGCGTTTGATAAGAAAATCAAGATTGCTGCTAGAAGACCCCAAACTGCTATTAGGAGAGGTTCCTGAGAAACAGTTTATAAAGAAAGAGTCAATAGAGTCTGAAAACTAAAAACTCTATCAGCACATAATACTACAAAAGATATTAGCAAAAGACTGAAAGACTTTTATATCTCTACTCGTATTAAACCATGTAGTCTTAAGAAGAGAAACAAAAGGAAAGACCTGATGAATATTCAGAGGAATTATACTGTCAGCAAAACTCCTTTGGCACATCTCCACCCAAGATTGAAGCAAGCTATGAAGAAGAATAAGCTTCGAAAGATCTTCAGCTAAGCATCTGTCAATAATGAAGAGGATTAATTCAGGCTACTCCATAGAAACATTTCTCTAATTATTTCAACATTATGAGGTACATTTGGGGTTTTGGGGTTTTGGGGTTTTGGGGTTTTGGGG